AAAAAAAATCAACTACAGTACAACATATTTCTTATAACATTTGCAATAACATACATTTCTTTTGTAGATATTTACAATAAATGTTGTTCCTTTGTCATCTGTTGGATGTCACAGGTTTGGATTTGTTCTTATCAACTCTGTTAACCTGTGCATAAATTGTTTCAGGCTGTTTGTTTGGGCAGGTTCCAGTATCATTCGGCTGTTCAAGACGATGGGAAAACTGCACCAATGCATAAGTTGATGTTGGTGAAGAAGACGTTGTAACCTCTGCAGGAGATTCATAGGGATTTGTTTGTGGGTTTTCCTAAAAAACAAAAAAGGTTGAAGCAAAAAAAAATTACATGTTTAATTGATATTCTCTGCATGGCTTTCTGTGAGACCTAACACTCATATGAGGAGACATATAAAAAAAATTATCTTCAGATTAGAAAAGAAAGTTTAGTCATCTAATGAAAGAATAACTTCAGCAGACGGTGAAAAGCAGGAGGTTTAAGATAAATTTGAAGAGATTTTTTAAAGCATTTGTGCTGTTAGTAGTTTGCATAGATAAAAAGGTTGTCTATTGCTCTTGAAGCAACTAAACTTTCAGTTTATTGTAAAGATATAGTCCTACATCTTCTAAATTTCTGATTTGGTTGACAAGCAAACAGGGAGAGTTTTTCTTTTAAAAGAGAACATACTGCTTACCTGAGGAACTTCATACACTGTATTTGCACTCCCTTTTCTTTTCCCTGCAGGTCAGTCACAAAAAATAAAGGTTGCATGGTTTGTTGTGACTTAATTGACACTGTAGAAAGTCTGACACTTAAAAAAATGCACTGATTTAAAGTTTAGGTTGAGAATTACATAAGAAATTTAGTTTATTTGAATGACAAATATCTTCAATATTAAAATCACCCGTACCTCCATCCATTGGAGAGAATTAAACAGGCGATGCAAAGTGTAATGTTGTCAAACAAGAATAATTTGGCTGTAGTAATCGAGAAGTACTGGTAGCAAGATAGCACAAAACACAGATCAGTGACGATCTGTGTTTTGTGATCTGTACATACTATCAAGAGAAAGAAACGTGATTCTAATGCATGCATTCAGGGCGACGATAGCAGAAACAGTGGATCAGTTGTCAGATTAATGTCGCCAGTCAGAAGTTATTTGACTAATGTGTTTCCTTCTCCTTTTTTTCTTCTCAAAAAACTCAATGAACTACCTTAATGAAGCTTAAAATCTGTTTTTCAGCATTTTGAATGTTGATTTTAATTTTTCTGTTTTCATCAAACTCTTCTAATGTAGTTCTTCAAAATGGGCAT